GTTTCTCCAGGTCAATGTTCTCTTTCCTATTTTATAAGGTAGCAAGGGTTGGTCCTTGGGCAATATTATCCTTTGTTTTATATAATTTTTTTAAAAAGTGTAGCCTCAGACTTAGCTTTATATACAATGAAGGCTTCATTAGTTACTTTCCTCATTGCTGTGATGAAATATTTATTAGAGGGGCTGGAGAGCTGGCTCAGTGGTTAAGAGCCCTGACTGCTCTTGCAGAGGACCTGGGTTCAGTTCCTAACACCCACATGGCAGTTAACAACCATCCATAACTCCAGTTCCAAAGGACCCAACGCCCTCTTCTGACCTCTGTGGGCATTGCATGACACAGGTGTACTTACATACATGTAGGCAATACACTCATACACATAAAATAATAAATAAAATATTTTAAAAAAATCTTACAGAAGCAACTTAGGAAGGAAGGGTTTATTTTGGCTCACAGTTTGAGGGTACAGTCCATGATGGATGGGAATTAGGGTGACAGGAGCATGAGGTACCTGGGCACATTGCATCCAGTCAGGAAGCAGATAGAGATAAATGCTTATGCTCAGCCACCTTTCTCGTTCTTGTTCAGTGGAGAATTCCAGCCCATGGAATGGTGCCACCACATTTATGGTGGCTCTTCCAACTCAGTTAACCCTATCTAGAAACTACCTCACAGATATGACCAAAGGTTTGTCTCCTAGGTGATTCTAGCTGACTATCAAGATTAATTACCACAAGCTCCCTAATAGACTACTTTTGGTGTTGATACATAAATTGCATTGATAGTTATTAGAAATGTCAAAGGTAAGTTCTGTAATCTTACCAAGACTCAGTGCCATCTAGTGCAATGGGAAAGAGAAAAGAGAAGACTCCATTCAGACAGTTATAGGAGAGAAAAAGGGAAGGGATGGCTGGGTAACCAGTGAGGCCAAGGGTGTGCCATGTGTGAAGGAAGCGAGACCTTCTCCTGGAACACTGGGCTGCAGCTGATTACTGAAGGTGGCATTCTCTGTGCTGCCTGGGACCAACCAAAGCTTTGTATCTTAGAAGTTTGTGTCTTGTTTTCTATGTAACTAATGGGAAAATATTTTCTTTACCGCGTGGTTCTGGGCCAGTTCGAAACAAGTGTGCTCTGGGCACTCATGGTTGCCAGCACATCTGCGTGAGTGACGGGGCAGCATCCTACCACTGTGACTGCTTCCCTGGCTACACCTTGAATGATGATAAGAAGACATGTTCAGGTAAGAATTGGCTCTTTGAGTAGATTTTGTTTCATGGGAAAATCTAGGCGGAAGCTGTTCTTTTATCATATCTACTTGTGAGCCTCCTAGAGTTGGTTTCTATCTAGCTGGCTACAAGGATAAAACATGTGTCCTCTTCTGCTAGATACTCTACCTTCTATGATCTGATCACATCCCTTTTTCCTTCTATTTATAATTAATGTCTAAGTCTCTTTTCTTTTTCATTGTGGTAAAATGTGTATAACATGAAACTTACCCTCCCAACCACTTTAAGTGTACAGTTCTTGGCATCCAGTATGTCCACACTGTTGTACAACAGTCACCACTAACCATATCCAGAATATTTTCAATTCCCAAACTAAAATTCTGTATTCGTGGAACGGTAACTCCAGTTCCCCACTCCCTGGCCCCTGGGAACTATTGTTCCACTGCATCTTGTCTCTTAAAACTTTCCGTCTCCTGGGGACATAGCTCAGTAGTAGAGGGTTTGCCTAGTATTGGCAAGGCCCTAGGTTCAGTCCCTAGCATTTCAAACAAACAAACAAACAAACAAACAAACAAACAAACAAACAAAGCAAACAGGTCAGGCAACTGTTTCCTTTACTGGGCACAGTGGTACACACTTGGAATCCAAGCACTTGGGAGTTAAGAGGCAGGATTATCAGGCTGTTCAAGAATGGAGAGAATTTCTGGGGCTGGTGAGATGGCTCAGTGGTTATGAACACTGGCTGCTTTTGCAGAGGACCGGGGTTCAGTTCCCAGCACCCACATGACAGCTAACAATTGTCTGTAACTCCAGTTCCAGAGTAATCTGACACCCCGTTTCTGACCTCCATGGGCATTGCACGACACAGGTACACTTACACACATGCAGGCAATATAGTCACATATACATAAAATAAAAATAATAAAGTATTTAAAAAAAAGAATGTGGAGAATTTGAGGCCACCTGGGATACACAAGACCTGGTCTCAATGCATGTACACACACACACACACACACACACACACACACACACGCAGAGTTCTTGCTCTATTTGCCCCCATATTCAGTCCTTCTCCCCAGATCTTCTGGTCCAGCCACTGTAGTCTGTTTGATAACCAGGAACATACCCTGAACTTGCCACTTTGTTCTTTGTGGCAATTTACTTCTCTTGTCACTTTTGCAAGTGAAAACAAATATACCAATTTGATGAGAACAGTGTTGATGAAGACCAAGGTGCTGACAACAGGGGCTGGGGGATGGACTTCAGCCTGGGAAGCTGTCTGAGGAAGGACTTCTAGGGAGCTGGGGAGAAGCAGTGGCAAAGAGATTGGAGCTTGGGGGGAAGAAGAGTAGTTCTAAGTCCTTTGTAGTGGCTTAGAGGATGAGAGGAAACAAAAGGCAGCTGGCACGAAGGGTGTATGACCATCCAGGGGAAAGGAAACAAGGCACTGGATGGCTTAGAAATTAGTCAGGTCCCAAATCATGCTGATCATCTGGCCATGAGAAAGGGTTCATGGTGTAAGGGCAGTGGAAATCCACAGATGGGTTTAAAGCAGTGGAATGACATGACTCTGTGTGTGTGTGTGTGTGTGTGTGTGTGTGTGTTTATTTTTTTATTTTATTTTTTGGTCTTTTTGAGACAGGGTCTCCCTGTAGCCCCAGCAACTCACTATGTAGACCAGGCTGACCTTGAACTCACAGAGATCCACCTACCTCTGCCTCCTGAGCACCGAGACTGAAGACGTGCGCCGCCATGCCCGGATTTTGACTCTGTATTTTTAAGAGCCACTGCAGCTGCTGGATGGAGAGTTGATGGAGAGAATGGGGTTGGGGGGGTGAGTAAGGAGACTATTGGAAGTCAGGACCCTGGTGATCAAAATAACCTGTGGATAGAAGGAACAGAATGAGGCTTGGTTAGAAATGGGTAGGGGGGTGTTGGAGAGCTGGATCCTTGGGAGGACCAAGCTTTGGTTCCCAGGTGACATGGCAGCTAACAATTGTCTGTAACTCCAGTTCCAGGGGAGGCAATGCCCTCTGCTGGCCTCCATTGGCCATCAGAAATTCAAGGTCATTCTCTGCAACATAGCAAGTTTGAGGCCAACCTGGGGTACATGAGCTCCTGTTTCAAAGAATAATAAAATAGTTTAGTTTTGGACTTCTGTTTTCATACTTAGCAGATTGTAAACACTAATACCCAAAGGTGGTGATCCTGTCTGTATTTTTAGCATCTCCCATAGCTTCTGACATAATGAAGGTGCTCAGTAGGTATTTCATCATTTGAAATGAAGATTGGCTTCTTTGGAAAGGTGAGGGTAACCAGGACCTAGATGCCTTCAGAATTTGAGTAAGTGTAGGTGCTGTCATGCTACCTAAGTGAGTATTCTGCAGAAAAATCAATCTTGAGAATTTTTCCCCCTAGAACATAGGGAACACCACGTGATCTACAATAGATTGGGCTGTCTCCTCATCTTATTTGTTTAGCTTTCTTTTTTTCTTTCCTTCTTTCTTTCTTTCTCTCTTTCTCTCTCTCTTTCTTCCCTCCATCCCTCCCTCCTCTCTCTTTCCCTTCCTCCTTCCCTCCCTTTATTTATTCAGTATGTATTCATGGAACTACTGTTATATATAGTTCTCTGTGAGGTTCCCCAAAAGAACAAGAGATAAAGTCTAGACAGGGCAGAGAGAGTGTTAACATTCTACGACAGAATAAAAGCAACACCACTGAAACAGCACACAGTAAGCACTGAGGTATAACCCCAGCCCTCCCACTTTAAAAATCAGGTTTTCTATCATTTACTGTTTTGATATGGGGTCTTCCTGTATAGCTTAGGTACGTCTTGAATTTGTGATCATTGTATCTCAGCTTCTTGAATGCTGGGATTACAGGCATGCACCACTACAACCTGGCTTGGTTTTCTGTCTTTTCATTGAGTTGTAGTATGTAACTTGCACTTTCTTCTTATAGATATTTGATTTGAAAAAGCTTTGTATTCTGTGAGTTGCCTTTTACTTTCTTGGTGTCCTTCCAAGCACAAAAAGTTTCAATTTTGATAAAGTCCATTTTATCTATTTTTTTTTACTGTTTCTAATGTTATACCTAAGAACCACTTTCTAAGCCAAATTCATGAAGACTGTGTTTTCTTCTAAGGGTTTTCTAGTTTAGCCTTCATTTAGGTCCAATGAGCCATTTCGAATTGGTTTTTAATAATGATTAATAAACGAATAATGACATGAGGTCACTGTCCCATTTCCGTCTTTTCTTGTGATACCCAGGTATCCAGCATCATTCGTCGAAATGACTCTTCCTTCCCTTATTTATTGTCTTCCTACCCTTACTGAAAATCAGTAGTCTATATGTGAAGTGTTTTTGAAATCTTTATTTCATTCCATTGATTCAAATGTCATCCTTATGTATGGCAACACCACAGTGCCTTGATTACTGTAGCTTTGTAGAAAGTTTTGAAATGAGGAAATATGAGTCCTCGTTTGTTCTTTGGAAGGCTACTTTGGTTATGCTGGTTCGCTTGCATTTCCACATGAATTTTAGGATCGGCTTGTCAGTTTCTCTCAAAATGGCAACAAGGACTTTGATAGGCATTGTATCAAACGCATAGATCAACCTGGGAGTACTGTCACTTTGGCACTTCCAGTGCATTCAGTAATACGGCATCATTCCATGTTTAGGTTTTTAATTTCTTTCAGTGTCTTGTAGTTTTCAGTGTACAAGTTTTACACCTAAACATTCGTATTTTATTCTTTTTGATATTATTGTGAATGGCTCCATTTCTCAACTTTTAATTTTGCTATATCCAAGTTTTATAATTTTTTAATATTTTATTTTTATTTTATGTTTATGAGTGTATTGCCTGCATGTGGGTAGGTGCACCCGTGTAGTGCAATGCCAGTGGAGGTCAGAAGAGGGTGTAGATCCCTTGGAACTAAAGTTACAAATGGTTGTCAGCTTCCATATGGCTGCTGAGAGCCAAATCTGGGTTCTCTGCAAAAGCAATCAATGCTCTTAACTACTGAGTCATCTCTCCAGTCCCCACTTTATAATTTTTCAAGGAGTGTTTTAGTAAGACTATCCCACTGAGCATGTGCCTTCACAAGCTTAGTGATTACTAAGTAAGAACATTGATTAGTTACAGGCATTCGTCTTACACTTTACAGAGATGGTGATATGTCGCTGATGTTTGACAGATACTTTCTGGCCAGGTGTGGAGGTAGTGAGTGTTAGATGCATAGTAAGTTGGAGGCCAGCCTGAGCTGTATGAGACTTTGTTTCAGAAAGTAAATAGGGCCTGAGGAGATGACTAAATGCATAAAGTGAATACCTGCATTTGGATCCCCAGCACCTATATAAAAAGTCATATGTGGCAGCTTGTGCCTGTAATCCCAGTGATGGGAGGCAGAGACAGAAAAATTCTGGGGGCTGCTGGCCAGCCAATCTAGCTAATCAATGAGGTTCAGTGAGGAATGTGTCTCAGAAATAAGGCGGACAGTGAGAAAAGAAGATATTTGATATTGACCTTTGGCCTCCATGTGTATATACACACACACACACACACACACACACACACACACACACACACACACTGGTTTACTGACTAATGGTCTTTAAGAGGGGATTTGAGGGCTGGAGAGATGGCTCAGGGGTTAAGAATACTGACTGTTCTTGCAGAAGACCTGGGTTCAAATCCCAGCACCTACATGGCAGCTAACAACTGCCCGTAACTCCAGTTCTAGGGCATCCGACAGCCTCTTCTGTCCTCTGTGGGCATTTCATGACATGGGTGCACTTACTTACATACAGACATAACACTCATACACATAAAATAAAAATAATAAATAAAATATTAAAAAAGAGGGGATTTGAACTCATTGTCCCTAAAAATTCATTAAGATTTGACAAGTAGATAAGTTCTATTCACGTAAATGAATTTATGGTCCCCTAACCATATATTGTATCTTTTATAGAATATGGGATAAAATGTTGGAACAAAAGTGCATTCATTGTCCTCAGGCAGTCATTCTATTCAATTGGAAAATTATACATCTGTCTTCAGACAGGGATGTTACCTTTACTTCTCTGGAATTTAGGGACTCTGATATTGAACAGGAGCAGCTGTCTGGCTGAATAACAGAATAAATCATGCTCCCATATTTGTTTAAATGACAATATAACTCTGAATTTTTAGTTCTGAAGTATGTGTGGGAAAAACTATAATTCTCCATTTACATCATTCAATAGCATAGCAGTCCTTTGTAGGAAATCAGGTGTTACCAACCTTTAATCTTTGAAATGATTCAGACACACAGCTGCTGTTCTCATCTTTATTCCTTAATGAGGAGCCAGTACCACAGGAGCATTGTCTTATTTCTGTATCAACCTATAAAAATTATAGCATAGATAACTTCTGATAATTATGAAAGTATGGAGAAAAATACAGTGAACTTTCATATAATCATCATCCAGTTTTGACAATTCGAAACATTCCTACTGTTCCCTAATAAAAAGTTTTCTGTGAAATTAACCTTACCAAATAGTTTTCTCTTCAGTTTTGCTTTTATATTATTTTAATTAATAGAAAATGTGTCTAGGTAAGTCTTTTTAAAAGCAATGTTGAATTGTAGATTTCCTAATCTAATTCCCTTTATTGCCCTTCCATGTTGGGCCTTGCATGTGCTAGGTGGGTGCTTTTCCTCCCCAGCCCCCACTTTGTTACAGTTCCTGGTTAGCTCTAACATTTTGTGTACTGTCACCACCTTTAGACATTGAAGAAGCACGAAGCCTCATTTCCACAACGGACACCTGCAGCTGTGAAGCCACACTGGTGTTCCAGGAGAAGGTCAGCTCCCATCTCCAGAGACTGAACACCAAACATATCCTTTCTGGAAAGTTATTTGTTTTTTTGGTTTTTCTTTTCTTTTTAAAAACTTATTTATTTTTTGAGACAAGGGCTCATGTAGTAGAGGCTAGCCTCAGTCTTGCTATATAGATGAAGGTGACCCTGGATCTCTGATCCTCCCACTTCTATCTCCTAAGTGCTATAATTACAGGGCTGTGCCACCAGGCCTTGTTCTGTGAGGTACTGGGGATTGAACCCAGGACTTCATGCACACTAGGCAATCACTCTACTAGCTGAGCTACAGCTCTAGCCTATATGTTTCTTTTTTTTTTTTTTAAATGATTTAAAAGTTTTTATTTTTGATTAACACAGAGTACACATTTTTACGGGGCACAATGTGATACTTTGGTACATATATATATACAATATACAGTGATCAGATCAAACACATAATTTCTTTGTGTTGGGGACATTCAAAATCCTCTAATAGAATTATTGTAAACCATAGTTTCCCTATTGTGTGGCAGTCTTTAGGTATCCTTGCTTCCCACACACCTTTCCAGATGTCTAGTTACTATTACTAAATTCTCTACCTCTATGAAATCAACCTTTAACCTACTATATGTGAGCATATGGAGGATTTGTCCTTCTGTGCCCAATTCATTGCACTTAACATAAGGTCCTCCAGTTCCATCTATGCTGCTGCTAATGACAGAATTTCATTCTGGTATATGGCTGAACAGCATTTCAAGATATACCAGATTTACTTCATCCATTTCTTTAAACATTCAGCACCTTGGTTGATTCCATAGCTTGGCTAGTTGAAATAGCACAGCAATCAACACAAGAATGCCCTAACGGCTACTTCTTGAAGCCAAACTAGATACTACACCTGAGCCAAACCATTTCAGGACATCCCACAGGCAAGTACCTTATTCATTGTTTTAAGATAAGTGGTAGCAGGGCTGGAGAGATGGCTCAGCAGTTAAGAGCACGGGCTGCTCTTGCAAAAGACCCAGGTTTAGTTCCCAACACCCAAGTGGTGGCTAACAGCCATCTGAAACTTCAGTTCCAGGGGATTCAGTGCTCTCTTCTGGCCTCTGTAGGCATTGCATGCATGTGGCGCACTTGTATACATGCAGGATAAAACTCTTACATATAACATAAAAAATTCAAGGAAAAGATAAACAGTGGTAATGTATATTAAAATCAATTTCAGAATTATTTCCAATGGCTTAATAGACCATATTTACTCATTTAATATTTACATGTAAAAGGTGTATAACTATTTATTTCCTTGGGGCCTTTTCATAGGGGTACATGTGTCTGGTCTCCCTGTAGCCCCAGCTGGCCTGGAACTTGCTATGTAGACCAGGCTGACCTTGAACTCACAGAGATTTGCCTGCTTCTGCCTCCCAAGCGCCAGGATTAAAGGCGTGTGCCACCACGCCCGGCTAAGATATATGCTTCTTTAACCTAACTTTCTTAGTTCAAAAATCTATGTCCAGAAAAAAAAAAATCAGCTGATCTATGGGACGTTATATCTGACATGACATATGATTATACAATTTGGTCAGCCAGACTGTCAAGAAACAGTTTCAAAATGTAACATGACAATATCTCAGAAATTTTCAGTCAGTGCTTGACTCAAAGCACCAACTCAGAAAAAAATGCTTTATCTTGGCAGAGCTTGTTAACAACTCTATTCTTAGAGGAATGGAATTCAGTCAGGGTAGGTAGAACCTAGGAAGGGGCAGACTTTCAAGGAGGGTACAGAAGTCATAAAGGAATGAGCTTCCAAATCCTTCACATGCTTAAGATGGTGTTTGGGATCAGCTGGCACGTTCTTTCCCATCTGAGTACTGTCATTCTACTGTATAAGAAGGAACTGTTTTTACCTCAGTCTATTAAGAAAAAGTAAAGTCTCCAGAGCCAAACAAAGGGACCATGCAACAATTCCTTTAATCACGATTTCATAAATATTGCTCCTCACTGAGATGTCATCCCAATTAAATTTGGTATGAGGCAAAAATATTTGAAGACCCCTGTATTGGCATAATTTTATCATGAATTTCTGGATTTTAGATTTCATTAGACTTTTGATGAGAAAATAGTTTTGTTTATTTTTTTTTCATTTGCAGCAGAACATAATCTTATCTTGTGGTAGTGTTAGAAGGTGTGCTTATGTGCTCTATTGTGTAAAGCAAGCTGTATCAGCCTTAACAACTAGCCACTTGATGACATTCTGAAGAAGTTGCAAGTACACGAATAACAAGCACGTAGTGAAATTGCTCAGAATCCTCAGCTGGAAATTCAGAGCGCTATCCTTAATACTCCGTCTTTTGTATACTTTATCTCCAATGTTCCTGCTAATATTTCATCATTATAGATGCTTGAATATTCTTTGATAAATAGTATGACAATTTTCTGGAGCATCATTATCATTTTCCAAGGAAATAAATGTGTAGACTTTTAGGAGCAGACTTCAGTATCTCTAAGTTATGACTGTGAAATGACTGACAGATATAAGGTGAAAAGTTTAATGTTTCATTATTTACTGATTGAGCCATTTAATTTTCACACATTTATATTATTAGTAAGATAATCATATTACTAGTGGAAATTCTAAATCTATTTTCTCTGGGTCATATTTATAATATAAACCAGCCTTATTATTGAGAATTAAAATTTTATGAAGTATTTACATATAAAAAGTCCAAATAACCAAATTGAGATGAATGTATTTAGAATTGTTTAATGCTTTTTGTTTTTGCTCATTTTTGCTGGGGTACCTGTTATTGAAGGCACAATCACAGGATTGCAATACTTATTTACCTAAAAATAATTGACACAGATTGACTGTTACATGCCTTTTTTAATTCAATAATGTCATAGAAATGAACAACTGAAGAGTACTAGCTGTGAATTTAGGGTGCTAACATTTTTGCCAAGGACAAAAACATCCTGAATTTTATCATTTTACTTTAGGATCTAATTGGTAAAATTGCCTATTTATAAAATTAATATAACAAGATCTAATATCTAAAAATGTCAGTAATAAGCCCAACTTCTTTCACTCAAAATGTACCAAATATACATATCCTTTTAAAAGTGTAGCTTATAATTTTTGGAACAAGAAAGTCGTTTAAATTGTGCACTATTTGATTCTGTTTGGGTTTGTATTGTTTTTAATAAAAAGTTAGTGTCTTTATACTTTAATGTCTTGGCTGGGTTTTTTTGGGGAGGGCAATTCGTGTTTTTTTTTTCTATTAAACATTTATGTTGAACTAAATTAATAATTGTTGAATATTTAACAGCTAAGAAAATGAAAGGACAAAATATTGATGCTCTTTCATCACACACTCTGGAGGCTTAAAATGACAGTTCAAGGTAAACAAAAGGATTTAAGCATGGAGGTTCCCCACCAAACTAAAACTACATCTACCACATGATCCACCTATGCCCGTATTGGGTACATACCCAAAGAATTTCAAAGCCATCAAATGATAGAGATGCCTGTACATCCATGTTTATTAGTGCAGCACTATTCACATTGACCAAGTGGTGCAATCAGCCTCAGTGCCTATCAGTGGCTGAACGGAGAAAAGTGTGGCATGTATTCATGATGGATATTTAGCCATAAAGTGGGGTAAGATCATATCGTTTGCAGGAAAACAAAATGATAATCATCATGTTAAGTGAAATAAATCAGATTTACAAAGGCATACCATGCTTTCTCTCATTTGTGGAATTTGGATGGGGGAGTGATAAGGAGAGTTTTAGGGAAGGGGGAGGGGAGTAGAAGAGAGGGACTATAGGTGGGTATAATCAAACGTCTTTATATGTATGTATGAAGATAATCACAATGTAACCCATTATTTTACACAATAAATGTGTTAATTAAAATACACTTTAATTATGTTGTGCGAGAGGGAATGTGTAGTTATCTATATTTACATAGAATGATAAATTTTACATTAATATCAATTCCTGACATGCAAATATAATGTACAGATTTACACCTAAAGTATCTTTTCTCTTTGGTCATTTTGAAATAGGGTCTCTTTGTAGGAGGACCCTAATTCAGTCCCCCTAGGCTAAAGACAAGGAAATAAGTCCTTCAGGCCAAAGAACTGTACAAGGAAGTAAAAATAAAAAAATAATTCTGAATGCTAAGAACAAGCTGAGCTGACCTTTTTCATGCTCCTTTGCCCAAGCTGGAAATCATCCCAGAAATCCCCCCTACCTCTGCTTGGCACATAGCCGCCGCTTTTTTGCTTGGCACATAGCTGCCGCTTGTGACATTACTGCCGCTTTCTCTCTAGTTTGTGGTCTTTGTCTTTAAAAGAAGCCTGTGAACTGGGCTCTGGGCTTCTGCCCTCCGAGTGAGGCAGGGGTCCGTTTTGCAAAATGTAATAAATCCTCATGCTTGTTGCATCTCCTGGTCTGAGGACTGAGTTATTGGGGAGCGGCCTCCTATGGACGTTGGGTACCCCAAACTGGGGTTCCAACAGTAGCACCAGCTGCCTGGAACTTGGTATGAAGACCAGGCTGGCCTAGATCTTACAGATATCTGCCTGCGTCTGCCTCCCAAGTGCCGGGACTTGCCCGACTACACCAAAAAGAAATGAAAAAAATTTTTTTTTAAAAATTTTCTTTTGTTTGAGTGTATTCCCTTCCACGTATATGAGTACACCCTGTAGTACAATGCCCATAGAGGTCAGAAGAGGGCACTGGATTCCCCGGACCTGGAGTTATGAATGGTGGTGCATGTCTGTATTCTCAGCATTTGGAAGGTGGAGTCAGGAGGATAAGATCAGGGTCATTCTTGGCTGATAGTTTGAAGGCCAACCTGGGATACATGAGACCGTTTTAAAAAAAGTCCTCCAGGAAACATGATTGATACTGGGTGGTTTGGGCATAAGTCACCTCTCAAGAGGGCAGGAACACCATAGTATATCCAAACTGGCTTTGGAACTGATGGAATGCTGGCTTTAGAGAGGTAGAGTGGGGACAATATAGTAAGGGCGTGTTAGGATGAAGAGAAGACCTGATTTTGGGTACATTTGAAGACCAAAACACCTGGTGCTTCTGCCAATTCCGGAATGTGGTGAGATAATAGACCAAGGTCAAGGGATTCGAAGATTGCTTGGGATGAGGAAAGACTCAGGTGGGGAAATTAATGCTGCTTCATAAAGCACATGCTTGTGATTATGTAAACCAATATTAATAGCTGCAGGTTATGGTAAAAAGGAAAACCAGAAATAATAAAAAGATAGGCGAGACCAAATAATGTCACGGGGTAGCTCCACTTGAATTTCTAGATTTGAAGGCTTTGTAATACTCAGATATCCAAAAACAACGAGATCACCAGGAGCAATGGCTCAGTGCTGGCGGCAGGATGAGGACCTGTGCTTGAATCCTCAGTACCCACCTAAAAGCCTGTAACTCCAGTGCTGGGAGTGGCGAACAGGTGATCCCGGAGCAGTCTAGCTTAGACTGCAAGCTCCAGGTTCACTGAGAGATCCTGTCAAAAAACTAGAGGTTATAGAAGACCACACACGATGTCAACCTCTGGTTTCCACATGCACACCCACATACACAGACACACGATGAGGATGTATAAACAATGGGGGGAGGGGGAGAAGGAGTTGTTGTTGGAGATAGAATTTTTATTTTATGTGTATGAGCGTATTGCCTGAATGTGTATAAGATCAGCCATCGTTGTGTAATGCATAAGGTGTTGGATCTCCTGAACTGGACTTACGGACGGTTGTTAGCGCTATGTGGGTGCTGGGAACTGAGCCCAGGTTCTCTGCTCTTAACTGCTGAGCCATCTCTTCTAGTCCCATCTCAAATATTTTTAAATGGGAAGTTATGCTCCAATACAATTGTAGCTTTAATGATCAAATGTTTGTACACAACTCCTTTTGCAAGGATCCTTGAGGTCGTTAAGAATTCCAAATCACAATAAACCTAGTCCCCAAATGCTTCAGAGGGTTCTTCAGTCCCCCAAAGAAGGCAATGCTCAAAATGCACATTCACACTGCTATTTATTTGTTCGATGGCGCCAGCCTACCCAACGCGATGATGACTTTTTCTTTCAAGGGTGATGGGCCAAGGGGCTTAAATGCGGGCATTTCGAAGCCTGATCCAAAGGGGCTCCATTTCTTCCGCGCGAGTCCTGAGTGTGGCTTGGCGGGTGCTAAGCCGTCCCTAGCCCGAGCAGAGAGGCCAGGGCCAAGCCAACCCACCCCGGGGGCAGCCGAGCCGCGTCGCGCCGGTCTACAGCGCCCCCAACGCCGGAGCCGGCATCCCGCCCCGCGCCCCGCGCGAGGGACACACCGGAAGTTCTCTCAGCGCCCCGGATGCAACTGGGCGGTGGAGGTTGCCAGGCGACGGAAGCTTCTTCCTCCCGCTGGTGCTAATGTACGGAACCTGTGACAAGCGGCCGGCCTTGACCGCTGCGGCCCTCTCCGGGTTCCCACGATGTTCTTCTACCTGAGCAAGAAAGTGAGTTTCCGGGGGCCGCCTCCACGCCTTCAGTTTGGAACCGACTCCCGCATCCTTCGTGGACGGCAGGCGGCTTCCCCAGCCTTCTCCATCCCTCCGTCACCTCCCGACCTCCTGAGGGTCTCTGAGCCCCAGATGGTCCTTGGCTGCACCGGCAACTTTCTCGCAGAACTTTCCCACATTCCTATCCTGCCTAGGCCCTTTTGAGTGACCAAATGGACAGATCATTCGATGCTGCTGGGTCTTTCCTCGTCCACTTGTTGATCCGGACGATGGATCATCATGGACTGCCAGCCAAGAGGAAAGAAATTATAAAAGGGTAGCCTAAGTGTTGCGTGGGAAAAGGGATTAAGGATGGTGGTGTGGATTTAGATCTCTGTCCTCGCCTTTTAAAACCCAGGAGGTGACTTTTCCGGCAGTCTTGAGTGCACTTTCCTTCTTTACTAAATACTACAGCCTGGAAGATTGAGGGGACCATGCGCATTTTCTCAACATCTCGTCTTTCCTTAAGGCTTCCCTCTCTCCCTTCCCTCCTTCCTGTCTCTGTCCCTCTTTTTTGAGACTGGATCTTGGTGTGTAGTTTCCAATTTGGGATTCTCCTGTCTTAGCCTCCTAAGTGCGGGGGATTATCAGCATGGTCCATAACAACAGATTCGTGCAGGATTCTTCTTGGAAGATTTTCTTCAGTCTACATCTGCTGGAGATACCTGCCTTCCCAACTCCTTCCTGAAAAGCTACTGATTTTTTTTTTTTTTTAAACAGATTGCTGTTCCCAATAACGTGAAGTTGAAATGCATATCCTGGAACAAAGACCAAGGGTTCATAGCATGTGGTGGTGAAGATGGATTACTGAAAGTTTTGAGATTAGAGACACAGACAGGTAATGATCATCACCAGCAAAGCTGTGTGAATTTGATAGAAAAAAAATGGCTGATGTCATTTATTCAGTATGATTTGCTCATGGTATTTGTCAGTACGAAGTTTTAATTCTTTTGAAAAGGAAAAAGAAAGCTCAATGTTTGGTGGTGATTTTTTCTGGAGTACTTTTGCAATAAAGGACATAGAATGCCTAATGTAACATCAGATAGCTGTTTCTGAAGTTATTGAGGGAAATGATAACCAGGAATGAAACTAAGCCACTGTGTTATGCTGCATCTAATCATGGTGCTGTTTTACTAGAAGGCTGTCAGCAACCAAGCAAATCAGCATTTCAGTAACATCCCAGATCTCACCTTTTGGTATATTATTTGTGAGTCTGTTTCATCTTTTCTCAATGATTATATAACAAAATGGAATATATCTTACATTTTTATCTTTATTTTTCAAGATGGAAATTTTTAAAAATTTTATTATTCTTAGGGCTGGAGAGATGGCTCAGTGGTTAAGAACACTGGCTGTTCTTGCAGAAGACCGGGTTTGAATCCTAGCACCCACACTGTAACTCCAGTTCTAGGGGATCCAACAGCCTCTTCTGTCCTCCGTGGGCATTGCACAACACGGGTGCACTTACCTACACACAGGCAATACACGCATACACATAAAAATAAAGTAAAAAAAAATTATTTTATGTGTATGCGTGTATTGCCTGCATGTGTGTAAGTGGACCAGTGTCATGCAGGGCCTGAGGAGGTCAGAAGAAAGTGTCAGATTCCCCTGGAACTGGAGTTGCAGGTCTTGTTAGCCTCCATGTGGGTGCTGGGAATTGAACCTGGGTCCTCTGCAAGAGTAGTCAGTGCTCTTAACCACTGAGCCATCTCTCCAGGCCCATCAGTACATCTCTTGACTTTACAGTTTGATTTCTTTCTCTTTCTAATTCTCTGGAATCACAGGAGTTTTGCATTTCTTTAGCTTTCCTAGCGTTGGTTGTTAGACAGGGTCTTAGTGTGTACCCCTGGCTAGTCTGGAACTTGCTATGTAGACCAGGCCAGCCTGGAACTCATGGAGATCTGCCTGTCTCTGCCTCTTGAGTGTTGGGATTAAAGGCATGTGCCACCATGCTCAGCCAATTGAAGATCTTAAAATTTTAAAAACATTTTATTTATTTATTTATTAATGATATGCCTGCATGTATGTAAGTGTATCCATGTTGTGCAATGCCTGCAGAGGCCAGAAGAGGATGTTGGATCCCCTGGAACTGGAGTTAGGGATAATTGTTAACTGCCATGTGGGTGCTAGAATTTGAACCTGGGTCTTCTGTAAGAACAGCAGTGCTCTTAACTGCTGAGCCATTTCTCCAGTCCCTAGAGATCATTTTAAAAAAATTATTTAAGAAATTTCTGGGCATGGTGGAGCACGCCCTTAATCTCAGCACTTGGGAGGCAGAGGCATGTGGATCTCGGTGAGTTTGAGGCCAGCCTGGTCTACATAGTGAATTCCAGGCCAGCTGGGGCTACAGGGAGACCCTGTCTCAAAAAAGACCAAAAAAAAATTATTTAAGAAATAATTTTATTTGATGATTATTGTGCTCCCCTGCCTCCTCTGTCTCGTTTGTTGCAGGAGTGTATGTGTCATGACCTGTGGGTAGACAACTCTCAGAAGTTGGTTTTTTCCTTCCACTGTGAGATCCAGGGATCCAAATGAGGTCAAACTCAGGCTAGCAGGCTTGTGCAAGTGTGTTTACCCACTGAACCATCATGCTGGCCCAGACCAGGAATCTTGATAGTCCCTAACATAGCTGGGGATCAAGATATATGTAAGTTACAACCAGTATGCCACACAGATACTGAATGACTTTCACCAAGTTGCCAATCATCTTTGGGCTTGTGTTCACTCTTGTAAAATGAGGGAACTTGAGCTAAGTTACATTTTAGGCTTCTTTACAGCATTGGCTCCTAAATCTCATCATCTGTAAGAATTACCAGAAGAGGGGCTGGAGAGATGGCTCTGCGGTTAAGAACACTGTTTTTGCAGAAGACCCGGGTTTGAATCCCAGCACCCACATGGCAGCTAACAACTGTCTGTAACTCCAGTTCCAGGAGATCCGACAGCCTCTTCTGTCCTCTGCGGGCATTGCACGACACAGGTGCACTTACCTATATGCAGGCAATACACACATCCACATAAAATAAAAATAATAAATAAAATATTTAAAAAAATTACCAGAAGAGTAGGGTTATAAAATAGGATTTATGGGCTCCATACTCCACAGAGTAGAATGGGATGGGCTTGAGAATTTGCACCTTTTATAATGCTGGTGTTCCTGACCATACTTTGAGTAACACTGCCTTACAACTTTGACTGTGGTATGAATCATATTTGATGAAGATTTTCCATGTTTTTGGATGGTTAATCTATACTTAGTCATTTGACTTTGCAATAAAGATGGTGTCCAGATGAGAGAATTGCGGCTCTAATCATTTAATCATGTGCCCAAAGTCACATAGCTAGTAAGTGAAAGCTGGGACTTGAAACTAAGTTTGCCTCACTTTTCAGTCCTTGTTTTTAGCCCTTTGTATAAAGACTAAGCCAAAAAGAGAATAATGGTTTTGATGTGCTACATTTAATTATGTGAACTAAAAGATAGGGATCCCCCTCTCCCCCTAGGTCTCACTGTGTAGCCTTGGCTGGAACTTGTGATGTAAACCTGGTTGGCCTCAAGCTTGTGGTCATCTTCCTGCCTCTGCCTCCTTAGGACTGGGATCAGAGGTGTGTCCTAGCTTGTTTCTCCATTGCTGTGACAAAACACTCTAACCACTACCAGCTTGGGGAGGAAAGGCCCAAATCTCCTTTTATATCTTCTGGGTCACAGTTCAGTTCATCAGGGAGCCCAAGGTTAGAACTCAGGGCAGGAACCTGGAGGTAGGTGCTGGATGGAACACAGGCCTTGGAGGAATGCTGCTTACTGGCTTGCTCCCCTGGCCTGCTCAGCCTGCTTTTTTTGGGGGGGGGTCTTTTTGAGGCAGGGTCTCCCTGTAGTTCCAGCTGTCCTCACTATGTAGACCAGGTTGGCCTTGAACTCACAGAAATCCACTTGCCTCTGCCTCCTAAGTGCTGGGATTAAAGGCCTGTGCCATCATACCTGGCTGAGCCACCTTGCTTTCTTATGCGACACAGGCCCACCAGCTGAGGGGTGGCACCACCCACAGTGGGCTGGGCCCTCCCACATCACTCAACAATCAAAAAGATGCACCACAGACATGGCCACAGGCCAGTCCAATGAACGCAGTTTCCCAATTGAGGCTCCCTTAACCCAGGTGTGTCAAGTTGACACTAAAGCTATCCGGCACAAGGTGTCTACCACAATGCCCAGCCAAAGGCAGATTTGGAAGATAGATACTTCAGTGCTAGTTAAAGTTTGGCTTCTGATTTTTTGCCTTATCTCTCGGTGCTTTGATTTTCTTTATCATTTTTATTTTATGTGTATGAATGTATTGCCTGAATGTATGTAAGTATACCTGTGTTGTGCAATGCCCGTGGAAGTCAGAAGAGGGCATCAGATCCCCTGGAACTGGAGTTAAGGACAGTTGTTAGCCACCACATGGATGCTGGGAATTGAACCCGGGTCCTCTGCAAGGGCAGCCAGTGCTCTTAACCACTGAGCCGTCTCTCCAGCCCTTGATTTTCTTAAAAATCAAAGTGCTAAAAGAAAGTACTTTTTCTTTGTTTTGTTTCTCAAATGTATATGTGACATTCTAAGTATTGTGTTGCAGCTCAGCTAAAACAAATACCTAACTTAGCATCACTCAACAATAAAATGGAATACTTCTATTCATGAATCATCTTCTGTTCTATGGCACTATTTTTAATTGCTACTTAATATTCAGTACGTTGCATTTTGTTTCACCAACCCTAGTGTTGGACATTCAAGGTTTCCATAGTCATTTTTCTTTTTGGGACAGAGCTGGCCTAGTACTTGATATGCAGCCCAGTCTGGCTTTGAACCTGCAGCAATTTTCCTGCCTTAGCTTATTTCATGCTCAATAGCAGCCTCTCCTTTTTTTGTCCTTTACTGGCGACATGTTCCAAAGCTAAGGAATAGCTTTCCGCCTTCAAAATAGTATTTTTCTAAAGATAGAAGTGTTCAGCCTCTTTATGAGTCTCTATATTTTCTAGATTCTTCTCCCCCACCTTTTTTTTTTTTTTTTTTTGAGACAGGGTCTCCCTGTAACCACAGCTGGTCTGGAACTCACTATGTACACCAGGCTGGCCTTGAACTCATAGACATCTGCCTGCCTCTGTCTTCCGAGTGCTGTCATTAAAGGAGTGCCACCACACCCAGCAACCGCCTTTTAATGATTGGAATTCTGCAGAGCGTGTACCTGGGCCCTCTTCCCATGCTCTCTAGGCTTATTCTCTGATTCCCACAGCCCTAAATGCCATGTATGGGGTGATCATCATATACACCTATAGCTCAGTCCTGATTTTTCAGACCTGGGCATCTCCATTGGAATATTTACAGGTTCCTAAGCATCTCATACTTATGATGTCTAAAACCAAACTTTGATCTTTTCCCAGAAGTTTTCTTCAGTTTTCTCCATGTAAGTCAATACCTTACATTCACTTTCTTGTGAATGCTGGACCCTCCAGTTAATTCCACCCCTACGTTCAATATCACCTTCATCACCTCTGTCAGCAGTCCCATTGCTTCTGTCTCCCAAGTGTGTCTTGATTCCATCCTTTTCCTTTGTATCTCTCCACTGTCCCCAGCTCCAGCCACCATCAGCCTTCATGTAACTACTGTGAAAATTATTTTTCACAATCTAGCCAGTGTCACTTTAAACAGAAAGGGTTGGGGCAGATTATGCTATTTCCCTGATAAAAAGTCTTTTATGGGCTGATGGTCTGAGGTGGAGTTGTTCATGGGAGGACTTGGGGGATGGCCCTTATCCTGACTCATTTAGACATCTTTCTCTCCCTCCCCCTTCCCCATTTCCTTCCCTGTCCTTTGCTAAATAGCTAGAACTAAGGCCCAACCAAAGTGTCTCTTGCTTTACTTGTTGTTAAGGCTGAAGATACAGAGAGCCTGGAAGCAAAAATCTGGATCAGAGAAAAGTTTTTAGGGGCCATGTGTTTGTTCTGTCCTCTGTTAATTGCGATAGTAAGCATGCAACTTCTAATATGCTCATGTTGCAATGTTCAGAACAGTCAGGTCAGGGTCCATTGCTGTACCATGAGAGCGTGATAGTCCCTTGAAGTAATTTGTACAAAGAAGCAAGGGCATCTGGTTGGCATATGAGTACCTCCTGCTTAGAAATTCACTCTCTTCAAGTTGCAAAAAATCCCTTCCGTGTATTTTGGTTGTGAGCCTGAGCCTTTAATGTGTCATTTCTCCAACCCCCTTTCATGCATTTTGATTCTAGGCATATAACAGCTTATGAATGCTAACAAGCACTGTCAGACCAGCCAGCTTCCCTCCCTGCCTCCCTGCCTCCCTCCCTCCCTCCCTTCCTTCCCTTTTTCTTCTCTCTCTCTTTCATTCTTTTCAGTAGGGTCTACTTTAGCTTAGATTGGCCTAGAACTTGCCATGTAGCCCAGAATGGCCCCAAACTTGCAATCTTCCTATCTCAGTCTCTCTAGTGCTGACATTATAGACCAGGCCCCCATACCTGGCCTTTTAATCAAATTTTCCTAAGAGAATTTTTTTTTTTTTTTTGAGACTGGGTTTTCCCTATAGCCCCAGCTGACCTGGAACACACCATGTAGACCAAGCTGACTTGGATCTTACAGAGATCTGCCTGCCTCTGCCCCTTGAGTGCTGGAATTAAAGGCATGTACCATCATGTGCCTAAGAGAAAATTTCTTAGGAATTTAGTGTGCTATGTTGTTGGTAAGAGAATGCCCTTTTCTTCGGAAATATACATTAGAGTATTTAGGGATGAAAAATGAAATTATTCATGTAATCCAGAGGTTTAAGATATGCTTATGAGTGTGTTCTTAATAAATGGAAAAAAAGATGAGTGAAAAGAGATTATGGGGTCAGCCAAAAACAAACTCCAAAAGCAAGACTCTAATAGGTTATGCTTTATATATCATGATCCTTGAGAGTCAGGCTAAATGGTGACTCATGCTTACTAATCAGATCTGTAGCAGTGTTTGCAGCTGACCATGAGAGGGGCCTTTGTAGGCATGAAATAGGATAGGAAAAAGATGATTGTGTATTGCTGTATGTAATTAGTAGTTCTAATGACTACTCCCTGTGAATATTTATATATAATTTCGGCAGGATGTTTTATTCTCTTACATTATGGGTTTCATTCTTAGTCATCTTCAACTTTAAAACTTGCACTGAGCTTTTTGAAGTACTTTGGATTGTTGGAACTACTTACTTCATTCTGAAAATTTTCTTCATGGGTTTAAAACTATTTTATTTATTTACTTATTTATTTTGTGTGTGTATATATGTGTGTGCATTCGGTGTGGGGTACACAGGTGGGTGGGCATGTGCACGGTGCATGTATGGAAGTCTGAGGACCACCTTGCTTGCCAGTCATCAGACACTTCTACCTTTTTTTGAGACAGAGTCTCTCCTTCACCTGAAACTTTGCCATGTAGGCCAGGTTAGTTGGACATGGGCTTCCAGGGATCTGTCTGTCTCTGCCTCACATTTCACCATCTCTGGGATTACAGGTGCATGCCAGCATGCCCGGGTTTTTATGGGGCTCTGGGGATCTTTACTCAGGTGCTCATGCTTGCAAGGTAAGTGCTTTTCTGACTGAGCTGTCTCCTCAGCCACACAATGCTTTATTTCAGTGGCACGTTCTTTCATCAGGACTTTAACATCCAGGAATAACACTGGTAATGTGCTTTTATAAAGTTTATGTCAGTATTTTCAGATTATTTGTTACCATAGAAGCTTAGTTTTATTTCCATCTGGCCTTAAAATTATCTATCATCTATCCGTCCATCCATCCATCCATCTATCCATCCATCCATCCATCCATCCATCCATCCATCCATCCATATCTAATCTATCTCTCTCAGAACTTTCAGGTGGGGTCTATGAATATTTTTTGCACTGTTAAGTTTTAGAGTTGCTACTAGCAAGGGACTTGTTCATCAGCAGATGACATTTGTTCAGTATTTTATTTTGAACTGAATTTTGAAGCCTATTACCATTGTCTGTCAGTATGTGTTTATACTCATGGTTCTGCTGTTGGAACTGTGATTTTGCACCATATAAAGAAATGGAGAAATGGGGCTGCTTTCCTTCTTCTTCAGATATATTAGATTCTGTGAGCCTTGAGAGCCTCGTGACACTAATTTTGCAGTGACTGTTGCTGAAGGCATCAGAGTGGAATTTTCAGTGCTAATGTCTTAGATTACGATAAAGTTTAAGCATGTTGTACAGCTTTTAAGAGATTAATTTAGTGAAAGAACCCTATGTTAAACGGAATAATGTTCAACCTAGTGTATATGTCAGCAATACTCTTAATTGTTTGGCAGGTGGTGCAGTGTTAAACTGTGTATATGTTGCTGTGAATGTTATCAAGATAGCAGCTAGATAATTAGAACTAGTGTTGTAGAAAACAGTTTTCCTCTGGCAGTATTTTCAGAATACTGAATGTCAGTTCTTTAGGATACTTATTATCTGAAAGTAGAATTTTCTATAACTGAGTTTTATAATTCTCATTCTCACAAATTCTTAAGATTATCATAAAATTTGTGTATTTAAATGAAAAATTTAAGTGATATATTTTATGTATGACAAGTATTATTTATCATTTTTTATTTTATGAGTGTAATGCCTGCATGAATGTAAGTGTCATGCAGTACCTGCAGAGGTCAGAAGAGGGTGTCAGATCCCCTGGAACTGGAGTTATGGATGGTTGTTAGCCACCATGTAGGTTCTGGGATTCAAACCCGGGTCTTCTGCAAGACCAGCCAGTGCTCTTAACCATTGAACCATCTCTCCAGCCTCATATAACAAACATTTTAAGTGGCTATAAAATGTAAAATTCTTGTCATTTCCTGTGAAGATGCTATAACTGTTCTTGTACCAGCCACTGTAGCTTTGTATGAAGCCGTTTTCCCGCTTTCATTGGCATGGGCCTTCTTTTGGTCCTTCAGAGGCACAGAGCCTTTGTATCTGCTGTTTGCTAACTTGGAAGGAAAGCCTCCCTGGTGCCCCCTTCAGTCTGAATTAAGCCCCATCTGTTACTGTTACTGTCTCTTATTATGTCCTCACTCTCCCAGTTTATGATCATGTGTACATAATATCTGTCTTTCACACCCCATGGAATCCAGGCTCTCTGAAAGAGAAAATGACCGTTTTGCTCATTTTATACACAGAAACGTTCATAGTGCCTGGACACAGTGCACCCCATTTAGTAGCTGTTTGTTGAATGAATGAATGAACAAGTTTATGGGTGAGCATAATAGTCTACGAAACAAGCAAAATTTTCTCTCTAAAATCTTGGCTATTTGGGCCATTATGTTTTTATGTATATCCATACACACTTCTGTTTGTTATCTCTTGGGAAATATCCAGTAGTAATGACTGTTTGTATATTTATTTTGTTTGTTTGTTTCTTTTTGAGACAGGGTCTCCCTGTAGCCCCAGGGTCTCATTATGGAACTCACTATGCTGGCTTGGAACTCACTATGTAGACCGGGCTGGCCTTGAACTCACAGAGATCCACCTGCCTTTGCCTCCCAAGTGCTGGGATTAAAGGCGTGCACAACCACGTCCAGCTCTGTTTGTATATTTAATACACTGAGCCAATAATCTTCTTTAATGCACTTTGCTTTATTTTGCTAGAACAATTAACTTGCAAAGTATCTCCATGAGTTATTGCTCACATTTGTATCGGGGAAAAATTGATTACAATGAGGCATACTTTAAAAAATTATATATTATGTCATAGATATGCACCCTTCTCCTATCCCAAGATACATCACAATCTTTTAATCCTTCACTTTTATATATTTAGCATTGGTACTTTTTTTGCTTTGTTTTAGATGACTCAAAATTGAGGGGTCTTGCAGCCCCCAGTAACCTTTCCATGAACCAGAATCTTGAAGGCCATAGTGGTGAGTCATTTACCTTTTTTTAAATTGAGCATATTTGAGCAGTACTTAGACATTTAGATCATTGTGTGCTTAATGTAGAAATGTCACCATTAAAAATTGATTCATTTATTCTTTTTTTATGTGTATGAGTGTTTTGCCTGCATATATGTAAGTGCACCATGTGCACGCAGTGCTTGTGGAGGCCAAAAGTGGGCACTGGATTCCCTGGACTTGGAGTTACTAATGGTTGTTATCTGCCATGTTGATGCTGGAAACTGAACTCAAGCCCTCTGTAAGAGCAGCTAGTGCCCTTAACCACTGAACCATCTCCCCAGGCCCAGTAATGTCACCATTTTAAATTGCAATAATATTGAAAGTAATATATATATATATGTAATCTTTATTTTTTAAAATTGGAGACAGGGTCTCCCTATAGCCCCAGCTGGCCTGGAACTTGCTCTGCAGACCAGGCTGTTCTGAATCTCACAGAGATCTGCTGATCTGCTGGCCTCTGCCTCTTGAGGGTTGGGATTAAAGGTGTACACCACCATGCCCAACTGAAAGTAATAATTTTAACTCATATGTCCCAGAATAATTCAACACTTTTACAGGATCATTTTTGATAAATCTGGAAAAAAAATCCTGGCTGTTATTTTATACATTAAAAATTGTGTTACTCTCTATAGATTTCTAAATATATATTATTTTTTCAAAGAATCTATTCTGTGATTCTAGATCAAAGGAGACCAAGAAGATATAACAATATACTGGGTGATCTTAGATGAGATCCTAGAATGAGAAAAACAAGCACCTGTACAGGACATTTCTTTTGGCAGTTGATGGTATTTGAAAATGGACTGTGTTCCATGGTATTTCATTAGTGTTAACTTTCTTGTAATAAGGTTATTGCTAGAGAATATCCTTAGGAAATACACACCAAAGTATTTAGGGATAAGACAATGAAATCAATTATTCTTGGAACCCAGAGGCATAAGGTATACTTAATAGTATTTAACTAATAGAATGGAAAACAGGTGGTGGATAGGCCAGTTCGATAAATCATGCTTATATTTGTTTCCACATTAGACTGGTGGCAGCTTTATCAGCTGGCTCTCGGGGGGAGCTTTGAAGACATGAAACAAGGGTAGATATAAAAGAATATTGTGCATTGTTGTAGATAATTAGTAATCTCAGTAGCTGGATTTTTCTGAATATTTTTGTATGCATAATATTTTACTTTAAGACTGGGTAGTGGTACATAAAGTATATTGATTGGAACATGCTGTTGTTGTTTATTTAAAGATACAAATTTGAGGTTAATCATAGTGACTAATGTTTCTGAATTGTTTCTAATGTTCTAGGTGCTGTTCAAGTTGTAACGTGGAATGAACAGTACCAGAAGTTGACGACCAGCGATCAAAATGGACTTATCATCGTCTGGATGTTATATAAAGGTATATTAGGAGAGCTGCTTCAAAAAAGATTCTCTTTACTTTTATTTATGTATATGTTTGTGCCTTCCTGTGTGTATGCACATGTGTATATGGGTGCCTTTGGAGGTCAAAAGAGGGTGTTGGATCTCCTGGAGCTGGAGTTACTGGCAACTGTCAGTTGGCTCATATGGGTGCTGGGGAACCAAACTGGTTATCTGCAAGAACAGCAAGCACTTTTCTTTCTAGATTTTCTTTTATTCATGACTGAGAACAAAATGATTATTCTTTACCTAGTTTGAGTTTTTAAAACTTTTTAACTGAATTTTTGTGAATTTAATAGAATATATTTGCATCATATTTAGATTTCCTCCTGTATCTGCAACCCCTTTACTAATTCCCCACCAAATTTCCTGTACTCT